GATGCGTGACGGCCAAGGGCAAATAGTGAAGGGCCTCCAGTGGGAAGGCCGACACACTGCTGTTGAAAGACTAGCAGTGCCAGTGGCCAGGTGTCACAGGGGGGCAGGTTTCAGCTCCGGGGTGGGGGGGGGTGAAGAACTTTTAACAGCCACAACCAAAGTCTAGACTTCCTTTTGAGGTGTGTGCACTCCATCACCAGAACAGCTCCAGCAAAAAATAGGCTACTAATACAGCAGAGACTCTTCCAGGGGATTCTTCAATCACTATGTGCTTGAGCTCTGTGACTTTAAAACCCACAACCAAGGTTCTCATTACATTCCCAGGAAAAAGAAAATACAAGATGTCCCTGGCATCCCATCTCCCTGTATCCCACCTGAGTCCTTTCCTTCCATTTTAACATAGTGAGCAGTACAGTGCCCTCTGAGGATGTCCCTGACGAGAGAGAGGCCACAGCTGACTACCAGTGATCCACCAGGAGACCTGGGCAAGAGCAAGCACTCCTCCTATAGCCCAGAAAAGACAGGAGAAAGGGGGTGGTGTCAGAACTGGGCCTGCGGTGGCTCTGCCTTGGTCTCAGAGCCAGGCAAGTGAGTGGCTGCTGGAGCCCATTTCTGTTCCGGCAGGTGAAACCCTACCTAGCGGACGATCTGGCCACCAACACTGACACTTCTGCAGGCTTCAGGCTGAGCCACCGCATCGTTCAGGAGTCCTCCTCTGAGAGTAGGTCTCCTGTCCCACCAACAACTGTTCATTTTCAAGAACTGGATGTCATTGCCACCTGCTTTGTCCTTGAAAGGCTTTGCAAGCTTCCAACTAACTCTTTCCAGGACATTCTGTGAAACAGTCCTCACACCAGGCATCCTACCCATCTGCTTAACGTAAATTAAAGAAGCATGGTCAGCTGTTAGCAAGCTACCCTTGAATGCTGATGACTTCACCTGGCTAAACATCACACACAGTCTTCTTTTTTGTTTTTGTTTTTCAAGACAGGGTTTCTCTTTGTAGCTTTGCGCCTTTCCTGGAACTTGCTTTGGAGACCAGGCTGGCCTCGAACTCACAGAGATCCGCCTGCCTCTGCCTCCCGAGTGCTAGGATTAAAGGCGTGCACCACCACCGCCCGGGCATCACACACAGTCTTGATGCACGCACACACACACACACACACACACACACACACACACACACACACCCCACACATACACAGACATGCACACACATACACACCACACACACACACACCACACACACACACCACACACATACACACACACACATGAACGCACACACATCACACACACACACACACACACACACACACACACACACACACACACACACCATACTCACACCCCTGTGTTCAATGTATTTTTTTTTCTTGGCATAATAGTCTTTGAGATTTTTTTTTCTCAAATTGTTGTTTCTGCAGGTGCTGGGCATGGCTCCCAGGACTTGTACAGCACACTCTCATTGAGCTACATCCCCAGCCCAGGCTTACACTTTTAACAGTGGTTGTACATATCTTCAGGGCACAACGTGATATTTTAAAACATTTAAACAACAAACAGTGATCAGATCAGGGTAAGTAGTGTAACTATCCCCACTAATCTTCATCATTTCTTTGTCTTGGGAACATTCATATCTGATGCTCTATTGCTTTGATAAGGTTCTGTGACACAAACAAACAGAATTACTTGGGTTTTTAAAAAATAATTGCTTTCTATTTTATGTATTTGGGGTTTTGCCTGCATGTATGTCTGTGCGGCCCATGTATGCAGCACCTTCAAAGGCCAGAAGAGGTCATCAGATTGCCTGAAATTGCAGTTACAGGCAGTTGTGAGCCACCATGTTGGTGCTGGGAATAGAACCAGGGTCCTCTAGAAGAGCAAACAGTACTCTTAACCCCAGCTCCCCCGATAAATCTTTTCAGCCCCTGGAATAATTTTAAGGACATTTGGACATGGAAGAATGACCATATTCTTTATAGCAAGTTTGTTTGTTTTAAAGCTGACTAGACTTAGGGAGACACTGGAAAAATAATGGGAAATTCATTTCTGTGAATAGTGCAGGAGAGCTTAACAAGGCTGGGAAGTCAGATAAGGAATTTGTATCTGATTCAATAGGAAATTGGAAGTTTGGGATTAATAGCTCAGGAAGGAAGAAAAGAAGGAAGGAAGGAAAATAGGAAGGAAGTAAAAAAGGAGAAAGAAAAAAACAACAACAATAACGAAACAACGCGTGAAAGCTTATAGACAACAGCCTATCAGCAGCCTGGGAAAAGAGGGATGCTATCAGAGTGGCGGAGAAGGCCAAGACGAAAAGGCTCACGGACTGAATGAAGTGTAGCAGTGTAGGGGCTGCGGGCGTAACAGGGAGGGGCTGAGTGTACAGGATGCTCACTGAGAACTCAAATGCTTCCTGGTGTCTTGAGGGCACCGGAGACTGGAGACGGAGACAATTGGCCATGAACATGCATCACTCAGCCTGAGCCTGCACTTCCTCCCAGCTCCCTCCTCAGCCATGCCTCCTTCTAGCTCAGGTGGCACCATCTGTCCAGCTCGGTGTCTCGTATCCCCTTGGAGAAAATCCCCTCTGGCCTCTTGTTTGTAGAGAACCGCCTCACGTAGTTTTTTTTCCTTTCTTTAATCGTTCTTTCCATTACTTATTCAGGAGCAGAGTATGTCCACACATTAAGAACATTATCAGATTCACAAATAATAAAAGGATACTTGGACTCACCTCTCATAAAACTAAGCTACTAAATTGTAGGTTCCTTCCTCCTCCCTTGCCCGGAAGGAGCATGGCAATATCATTTAGCGTTTCCTGTCCCCTAACAGTTAAGTTTTGGTATAAGACAGATGCCTAGTTCCCTTAGCTCTAGTCAGCCTTCTCTGAGTCAGGGATTATCCCCTTTTCAAAGCATTAATGGATTTTCAAAACCGGTTTTCCCTTTTTACCAAAAAGTACCCAAAGGTGAACTCAGGACAGCTACCTCCCTAGGTCTGTGCCCAGACAACTCAAGAACTTCACCTGCCAGGAATCAGAGCCGCAAGACTGAACCATAGGCAACTGCCCATCCTGGTGCCGAGGGGAGCCCCTTTCTCCTTGCCTCAGAATGAAAACCACGGTCAAATAGAAAAACCAATGTTGTCAGGGCACAATCTATGGGACAGTCCCCTCTCCCAATGCTATGCACCATGATATTATCCAGTCCTTGGGATTTCCTCTTACTCATTCCTTAGGGCAAGGCCGTTTTTGAAAGCCCCCATAAAATGCAAGTGCCATGCGGAAGAGGAAAAAAACCAATCTGCTTTTAGCCATCAGGAATTAAGTTCAAGTTAATTTCTCTAGATGGGACATGGAACTCAGACAAGGAATGAATGGGACACTTGGCATGGTTCAGGTCTCTAAACCTTGACAGGGAGATATAATGTACCGAACGCACACTTTGTCTTCCTCTACTCGCGTTCAAAATGGCGTCTATTTCCCAGCCGGATTCTAAGAGTGCCCAGCATTCAGAAATAACTTCCCACAAGAGAGTAAAGAGGAGGGCAACGGTCTAATTAAAGCTGGTGTGCCCGAGCTGTGGTCCTGCTGTTCCTCCCTCTTCCTCTGGTACTCATATCTGCCTGGCTCTGAAAGGTGCAGGGCCAACCCTTGCCGCCTTCTGGAAGACTTCCCAGGAGTTTCCCCTCTCCTGCTGGCCCATGTCAAATCCATTTCCATGGTGCTTATGTGAGTTCTCAGCTGCAATCCCCTGGCCCAGAGACTCCCCGCCCCCGACTCCCACTTCCACCTCATTTTGAAACACTTGGCCTCTGAACTTTTGATTTCTCCACTGAAGACGCTGGTGTGTTTTGGTGGTTTACCTTTCAGGATTTTTCCCTCTTCCCATCCATGTCAAATTCATGAAATCAAATTCTCCTCCCCACGCAGGGATGCTAAAACAACTGAAAGCACTAAACACAGTTTCAGTTAGCAGCCACACAGAAAGAACCATCTCCTTGTCACCCAGTGGCTGTGTCCCTGTGGTTAATACTGCCTTCCTGTTAGGAGATTCAGGACTGTAACGTCCCTAGATTCCTTTGATACTCCCCGGACCTAGGGCATTTTGTGAAGTCAGCAAACATAGGCTCAACGCATAAATGAACTGATATTCAAAAATAGATTTCTTTGAAGCTTCTGCGAATCACATCCACAGTGTGTTCAGCAGCAACAGCAGACTCAACAGAGACCCACTTCCTGAGCATGTGCAGACTTGTTTTAGTCCTGAGATGAGAGTTTGCTCTAAGAAGAATGGCCGACCCCTTAATGATTATAGTTTGAGGAGCGGGAAGTTCCCTTAGCTAAACGTTGTTTCACCTGTCTCTCCAGAAGCTCACACTGCTATTAATGGAAGCAATATTTTAAACCTATTTGCAAATGCAAATGTGTACACAACTTGAAGAACGCATCAAACCACTGCCTGAGCTCCTTTTCGACCTAGGAGTATGCCCCCCGCCCCCAAATGAGCTAATGGCCTGTAATATTGAGATGAATCAGTTAGATAGGATGGAAGAAGGGAAAGGATTTCTGGGCCTGTCAAAGAAAAACCGAACAAGCAATCAGAAACCACTGCAGAGAACTGTGGGAATTTCCTCCCTCCTCGTTGCCCGGTCTAGGAGCTCCGGCAGTACCAGGGTCCACCGAAAACTTTTTCTATAGCAGAGCCTCTGGGAACCCCCAGAACCCCCAAACCAAGAGCAGCTGCCAACTGTTTGGTAAGTGGCCCGTTCTATTTTCTGCCTGTCCTGTCTCTTGGCTCACTACAGCAGATAGTCTGGACCGAGGAGACTCATTTCGGTAATGTCCCATATCTGATGGAGACAGTCAGAAACACGCACGTGTGACAGGCAAGAGGTTTAAGCCTATACCCTCTCCCCTCTCTCACCCGGCCCCTCTCCAGCTGACTGCCCACCTCTGCACATCTGCCCCAGAGGTAGCTTCTGCCTCCCCTGCTCACCAGGCTGCACATGTCTTGAGGACATACATGTCACCAGCGTCTCTCCACCGCGGCTCTCAAGGACCACACACACAAGCACGGTAGCATTCCCGAGGACTACAGGAGCTTGAAAAAAAAGTGGAAGCTTAAAAAAAACCCAAAAAAGTAGAAGTAAAAAAAAAAAAAATTCAACTAGAGAAAAAAGTAAAAGGAGCCTTCTCAGCTCGCGAGGCCTCCGGGCCTCTGTGCACGGAGAGAAATAATCTGAGGACTGAGGAAGAGCTCAGGTACAGAAAGGGGAACTGACTAGAGGGACTGACGGCGCCGGCAGGGGCTGTGTCCGTGCTTGGTTCCAGATAACTTCTGCTGGCAAGTGGGCATTTCCACTGACGAGAATGACTACGAGTGTGCCTTCGGACCGCCAGCAAGTGTAAAGCCCTGAGGAAAACCCCAAAGACAGCCCCTTTCACAAACACAACAGACACCTCCCTGATGCACCCAGAGTCCCAGGAGTAAAATCCGTGAAGTCCGCGGCTAGCGATGAAGCTCTGTGCGGTATCACTCCCTTTCAGATAGCAGAGGAGTACTTTCAGGAAGGATGTCTCCATAGATCCTTCTAGAAGCCAGTTTCCACACACTACTCTCATTGCTAGACTAGTCTAATCTAGTCCTAACTGCCTGACTCTAGAATGTTTCTATTACTTTTGTTCACCATGCCTGGGCAGGGGAAGGGGACTCTTCTGAGTGTGTGTGTGTTTGGGGGGTGGGGTGGGAATGGCAAGCAGAAATGTGGGAGGTGTGTCAATGCCCAGTGAGCTCTCTGAATCTGGTTCTTTCATAGATTTTACACACCTGGATATATAACCAACACCCCACACCCCAGGTACTCAGATCCTTTTTCTGATATGCACTTGCTCTCTAGTCAGTTGGGTTGGATGGGGCACTTAAGTGCCTCTGAGGTGAACTCGGGACAGAGGCAGCCCTATAGAATGTACCTCACCAGCTTTCTTAGGGGTTGGCTGTGGCCCCCTGAAGGACTGAAGAAACAGTTGTTTCTTGTCTGCTAGTTGAGGATCATAAATCAGGGAAGGAGTGTGGGGTTTGGGGTTGGTGGTCCCCCATCGAATCCTGGCTTGACGACTGGACTCTGGGCAAGTCGTTGGATATCCTGGAGTCAGACTTCCGGCCTGTGAAATGCAGCCCATAATTGATTTCCCTGTTGCATGGTCATGAAAAACAAATGAGATTTTGGTGGTAAGACTTGCAGGTATTCACCTGGTACAGGGTTTACCACAAAGTTAAGGAGTCTTCATTATCACTTTCTTATTTCCTTCTGAGTCTTTCCAATTTTTATTTTGACCTTTCCACAGAGATCTTCCTTCTATTCTTAGAGTTCATGATGGCTCTTCCCAGACAGATCTGAAAACCCAGTTACCTTCAGTCCAGGACTGCTCAAACCAAGGGCTCCTTCTGGGTCCTGGGTCCTGACTCACCAGGTCCTTATTTCCCTCCAGTAACTCTATATACTTACCATAGAAACATTCTTTATTGGGTGGGCTCTACAGGGATTGGGGGTGCCCTCTGGATTTTACAATAGTAATTTTCTTTGGTTTGAAAAGGTCCATGTGGTTTCTTTATTGGAGCACATAAAAATCACCCGCTTATTCCAGTTCAGGGGAATTCTTTAATATTTCACTTAATTTTCAAATGTTCTTCTTTTCCGTGAACTCACCAGTCAAAATACAAGATGGGGACTGGAGAGATGGCTCAGCGGTCGAGGGCACTTCTCTGTTGGAGGACTGGATTTTGTACTCCACCACTCATTTTAGGCAGCTCACAAATGCATGCAACTCCACAACTCCAAGGGATCTGACATTTCCTTCTGGCCTCCATGGGCAGCCATACACACACACACACACACACACACACACACACACACACACACACACACACACACACAAATAAATAAAATCTTTAGAGACACATATCAAAAGGCAAGGTAGGTTACATTGAATATGCTGCTATCAAAATTGATTTTTCTGGGCATCAAATCCAGGGCCTTGCCCATTCTAAGCTGGCTTGTGTCCACTGAGTTATATCACCAGCTCCATCAAAATATTTTGAATGCCAGACTTCTGCCATTGTAGCTGTTCCTACCACTTGCCATTATGTGTGTTTTTCTTTTAACTTATTTTAAGAATGTTTATTTTAAGTCTTTTTGTTAAGGTTAAATTTGTTTTTTTAGAAAGCAATATCATTTGTTAGAAACAAAAGATGGATAAAAATAACACATCACACTGGGTTTGGGAACGCCAGAGACCCAGGTTTGTATCCTGGCTGAGCTGCTAATGTGTGTTCTCACTAGAGTTTTAACCTCTCTAGGCCTTGCCTTTCTCACGGAGGTAATATTGCGTTAACTATGCTTGCCTTGAGGGTTAAACTGGATGGCATACACTGGCACTCAACACAGATGCTGGCGTGGAGTGGGTGCTTGTTCTCTTTTGAGAGGTTGCTTCACTGTTTCCCTCTTTCCACATCTCTTCAGTTCCTGCTAGGACCGGCTTCCTCCCATGGGTATGTTGCAGGGAATAAAAGGGCATGCTTGAGTGATGAGGCGGGCAGCTGCCCGAGGGCCACGGTAGCATCACAGGATTCTCTGGCTTTAAGATTTAGAGTTGCGAGGCTATGAAGGACCCTAGGGACAGCTCCAGTCTCTCAAGTCGTGACTTTTCTATGTCACCTCTATAGACATGTGTCTAGCCTTTGCCTTCTCACCAGTCATACTAGGAAAGGTAACACCTGTTAAGAAATGAGAATGTCATTTTGATAACGATCTCAGGTTTACCACTCCTCAGCCCTGCCTCCATAAAGCACCATTTAGATGCCTGTCCTTATCCTAGAATATACTATTGGACTCTTTTAGATGAGCTGAAAACAGATACAAAATCTCTCAGCCAATGACCAGAACTCTGGCTTAACGGCTCTCCATGGGTTATGTGGTCTTTAGGACCACAGTCAACAGCATCCTTCCTACCAGCCCCCTCTCGCAGAGAGAGTAACATGCACTCTAGCAGAGTAAAGTTCAGCAGTGTAGAACTAGCATTAATAGTTAGAACTAGATTAGTCAAAGCTCGCCCATCTGGACACAGTGACGGGGCTGGCTGACTATGATTTTCTTTGAACACACTGGGTCAAGTCTCTGCCCCCTCTTGTCTATGTGTCAGTGTTTAGGGCCAGCTCTCAGCCAATCAAAAGTCTTCCCTGACTCCCATCCCCGTCATCAGAGGCGAGGGTGAACAGGGTGGCACAGGGGTGGTGGCTAATCATGCAGAACACTGACAGGGGCTGATCTGAATGGTCAGTTCCTTGCATTTGGCGGGGAAGAAGTTACTGGAACCTTGGGAAGCTGCTTTCTGCCTGGTTGCTCCACTTCCTTCTTCATTCCCAGATGTTCGCAGCTCAAGCCAAGGCTGCAAGGAAAAGCTGTGGAAGGAGAGGAGCCAGAGATGGCATTCGACAGGGGCAGGGAGCCTGCCTTCCACAGGTCCTCACCCAATCACTGCCCAAGAGACGGCCTCTGGGGAGTACCTACTTGAGACCTATTCTGTGTGACAGAGCCAGAAACCTGAAAACACTTAGAACTTCCAAACAAATATTTAGGTCCGATTTCCCAAGTTAGCCGTATGTTTGCTAAATGGCCCACCGTGGCCTATGGTGGAAAATTGTCTAAAAGGATTCTTGATGGTGCTAGAAATGGTTTTAATACAGAACAAAGTAGTTCCCATAAACATTTATAACAGCATTATTTATTGAGATTGTTTATTAGTGTTTGTTTTCTAAGCATCCTTGATACAGAGATGTGCGCTGGGGCAAGGGGGCATGAGCGATGAAGACCCATGGGATAGGTGATTCTTGTAGGTGGCCCTGCATCTCTTTTCCTCCTTTTAAACCGCAAGGGAAAGAGAAGACAAGGGAGAGGTGTGTGGGCCTTAGGAGCAGTGGGCAGCCAAGTACTTTGTGCTCCCATGGTGATGACTTCCTGAGCAGTGGATGACTCACACCTAGAGAGGCAATATTTCCTGCTCAGGGTTGCAGTCTCAGCAAATATTCTTTTTCTTCTTTTTTCCTCTGTGTAGTTCTGGTGCCTGTCCTGGATCTCGCTCTGTAGACCAGGCTGACCTTGAACTCACAGAGATCCGCCTGGCTCTGCCTCCTGAGTGCTGGGATTAAAGGTGTGCGCCACCACTACCTGACCCTCAGCAGACATTCTTACCATCAATGTGGGAGAGCTTAGGGAGCTGCCAGACTCATCAGACCACTGTGGGCTCTGCAAGTGCAGGGTCTCACATTCCCATAGCAACCAGCACAAACTAGGATGCAAGGCCCTTCATCACACACCAAGCAAACTTTCTTGGATTCTGCCTGGGCTGAAAAAAAAAAGGGAAAGAAATCCCTGGGGTGACCAGTAGAGTGGAAGGAACTGGGCTTCTATACTTTGGAGGCAGGAAGACACTCACTTCAAGGCCTCTCTGGGCTACAGAGCGAGGTCAAGATCAGTATGAGCAACTTAGGGAGACTATCTATCTCAAAACAAAAAGTGAAAATAAAGTTTGAGGATTTAGTGTAGTGACAAAGTGCTTGTCCAGAAAGTGAAAAACCTTGGGTTCAATCCTAGTAACACACACACACACACACACACACACACACACACACACACTTGCCCAGAATATGCAAAACCCTGGGTTCAATCCCATTAACACACACAGGCATCCGCACACACACATACTGAATAAGGAAAGTGACTGCTTCACGTGTACTCATAATCCTGAACAGAGTTCAAACCCTGTATAAAATACCACCCATGCAAGGGCAATAAAATGTGTCTGTGGGCAGAATTCCCGAACTGTTCTTTTTTTCAAAAGTAAGAAGATTTATTCATTTTTATTTTATGTATGTGAATATTTTGCCAGAATGTATGTCTGTGCACCATGTGTTCAGTGCTTGCCGAAGCCAGAAGACAGTGTAGAGTTGATTCCCTGGGACTGGAGTTGAAGATGGTTGTGACCACCATGTGGGTGCTGGAATTGAACCTGGGTCCTCTGGAAGAGCAGCCAGTGTTCTTCACTGCTGAGATGTCTCTTCAGCTCCTCCTGAACTCTTCTTAATTGAG